ACCGGATATTTGTTTGATGACGTGCAGAATGTCAAGGTTGAAGGTGGTGAAAGTATCCTTCTGTATAGCGCTGATCGAAGGTAAACTTACGAAGCGCGCTATAATGGAATCGCCTCATAGTCAACCTACCCAACAAGAACCGTGTAAACTTTTGGCCTTTTGTTTACCTGCTCCGGGTTTGATGGAAGACTACATCAGTCGCTGAAAAGCGTAGTCTGATGAATACGCATTTTGAAACAACAAACGTTTTACGGAAGTGAAGAAGAAAAAGAAACCACCGTTCCCTGGGTACAGTTGGAAATCGCCACCAGGAGGACACTCGAAACATGTGTATGTAGGGAGAAAACAGGCTAATGCACTAAAATGTCAGAACAAGCACCTGATATACCACAGGGGAAGTTGTGTCCAGAGTTTGTCAAAGTAGTTAGACGCAATCCAGCAGAACTGAGCTGAACAAAAGCGAGGATCGATTATGTCGAATTTGTGAAACAATGGATAGCCAAGAGAACTTTCAGAAATTTGATGAAATAAGACACCTCCACGACGAACACGTCGGATAGTCTTTCCACACGTCAAGGGAACAATGGTCTTAGCAAAAGGAGGATACGACATCAGTTGATGACGGAGTGTGATGCGGCTGATGGACTCGTAGAACGATTCAACTATCAGCTTTCCTCGCAATGGGAATACGGTGTATTAGGAATTCGGCTCAAACCACTCAAGCGCGAACATGTTCACCTGTTCAAAAGTGAAAATCCGGATGAGTCCAGCGTGTGCTGGTGGAGTAGTAGTAACACGCTCACCTCGCATGTCAAACGTGCGGAGTTCAACCACCGGTCATTAGATATGCACTGTTGGTGAGCACTTATGAGAGCGGAACTCGAGTCCGGTGCTCCCGCCCTTTGGTGTGGAATCAACAGGTCGATTGTTCAGACGAGAGTGCGTGTGTGCTATACACCTTAAGTTTTCTTAACCAAGAAAAAACGGAGGCCTCCTAACCAATATTCTTCCGGCTGTGCTGCGCAGTGCTCAAGATGCCTCAGTGGTTAAGACGCGCGAACTTTCGGCCGGAAGGTCCGTGGTTCGAACCTAGCCTCATCGTCTGGACTGCTTCTTTCTAGGCTTGGGTAATTTGGCAGTGTCTCGGCCCTAATATTCCCCTCGGGTGGCATGACAGCCAGGTGACGATATGGTCGGTGGATTTTTTGTGCAGAGTGAAACCCAATTTGTCTTGACGAATCTATTTATTTTTGAGGGATTGCTGTAGCATTCAGAGTTTATGTAACAGAATTCTATATGGCAGCCTCAACCCCGTTGGAAGCGAACCTGTAGGTATCGCGATTAGTCATATTCCTAATGGGTGCCTGCGTCACGAAGAAAGGACTTTACCGTTGGATGACGGTTTGTGTCATTGGGCGGCGATACTGGGGGCTGTCCGTGTTTCACTCACAGAGTCTGACACTAGGTTGGTCAATGGTTAATGGTCTGACCAACACAGTCTTCTGATCCTCCTGGTTTTTCGGTTAAAACATGTGTGGTGACTTGCACCTGCATATACCACCAAAGACTGCTGCCTTTCTATCAGGCTTTTGAGCCAAAGGTTTTGATCTGTGACTGGGTGCCGTAGCACTATACCAACCGAAGGTACAACCATGAATATCGCACTTACAAATACTCTTGCCACGTCGACTGTCGTGTGGTGCCATTAACCGGGTTCTCTAACTTGCTGTATACAGCAGGGTGAGTGAGCTATTGCTGACGCCTCTCTTCTTACACATGCATGTATTCTTTCAATAACCTTACACCACCGCAACATGAATGCCCTCACTGCAGGTCCAAGCACTAGAAGTGTCCGTTTTGTCCACCATGCATCACACTCAGCTTCAGTTTTCATACACTCGACTTCAGAAACAACCTAAAAAACTTCGGAGTCTCCTTTCAACCCTTTAAAGCCGGTTTACTTTATCGCTTTTATGGTTCTCACACCGAGGGAAGCAAAAAAAACATGTGGCTTGTGCTAATTCATTGGCTTCACCATCATCATTCATCATGGTCAGCTGTAATGACCGCGTACTTGTCGTACAGGGGTTGTAGATGCCATGACCCTCTGCATTGGCAGATCCAGGTCGCAAGTACTGTAACTGAACTGTCTGCCCCCTTGCTCTCTTCCAGGTTCCGGCTGCGTCCCTCTGATGTTACGGAGATCGCTGCAGCTGGACGTACTGAGGTGGATGTTGTGTTAAACAATCAAGCGGAAGCGCCTCTACTAGACTGGACATCCGTTGATAGTCGCTTCTGTGTGGTTCGTTTGGCAACTGTGTGAAAGAATCTTGAGGAGGTGAGGTACAAAGCACACTACTTATTGTGTCTGCTTACGCCCCCATTTACTATAGCTCCAAATCTGCCAAAGATAGTTTCTGTGACGCTCTAGGTGCTCTCTTACAACGGGCTGAAAGCTCAGATATCGTTGTGGTTGTTAGTGACATGAACGCTCAGCTAGGTAGACTAAACGCTTCTGAAGCAGAGTTGTGTGGTCATCTTGGTTTGGATGCGAAGAGCACGGACTACCGAAATCGTCTACATCAAAATGTATGCCGATCACAGACTGTTCCTTTGCAACACGGATTTCCGGAACAGCGGAAATCGCTTGACGACGTGCTGTCCACGAAGGAACCTTTCCCGAATCCAAATAGACCACATCGCCGTTAGTTACCAGTATCGAGGGTCGATCACTGTCTGCGCTCCTTCCGGACCGCCAGGGTATGCTCTGAGCATGCAGTTGTTTGCTGCTGTTTTTTATTGAGCTTTCCAGGTGTATGCAAAGCGCGTCCACGGTTAGCTATTGAGAAGGTAGTGAACACGGAATTCAAGCGAATCTCTCAACCACGGCACCTGCAACGCCTGCGAGCCGTCCGCTGTTGGAAATCAATAGCCACTAGGAACGCATATCCAAAACCCTACTCGAAGCCGGAGCTTCCGTTTATGATACACCCAAATCAATCTCAAACACTAGATCTGTGACCGTGGCTTTGCTGGAAGTCCGATAATAGGTTCCTCCTGGCCGCAACCACAACCCAATCCGACGCCGGGTGAAAGTGAGTGTCTGTGCAGACCGAGAAGCTTACTGGACTCGAGATGGCTCGGTGTATAAAGCACAATTTACTGACCGGAAATTCTTGAGTTCGATACCAATCTCTGCATCTCGACTACTGTTAGGCACCCTGGCCAGTTTCCGAGCCCTCGTTTTTACTTCTAATGGCAGGCATGGCAGTTAAACTCCGGGTGGGTGCTACGGCTAGAATATTTCGATTCTTTCGATTTCAGTGGAGCCGAAAGGCCGAAGTAAGTTAAGATTGAATGACGCTGACCAAGTTTACAGGTTATTTCACTTGATTCGTTCAATTGGTCTTAGGAACTAAGGTCGCTCTATAATATGCAGCAAACGAAATGCTCGGTTCGGTGGGCACAGTACTCCGAACAGCAGTTCAGTTGACCACCTACCATCTCATGTCCAGAATCCTGTCAGATTGAATGACGCTGACCAAGTTTACAGGTTATTTCACTTGATTCGTTCAATTGGTCTTAGGAACTAAGGTCGCTCTATAATATGCAGCAAACGAAATGCTCGGTTCGGTGGGCACAGTACTCCGAACAGCAGTTCAGTTGACCACCTACCATCTCATGTCCGGAATCCTGTCTTTCAACAGAAAGGTGGACTGTGAATATGGAGCACTGTTTATCTTCGGAAGTGTCCGACCAAATAGCTCTAATCAAGCTTAATCGTGCCTCTGGACCTGATGACCTCCCACATTCAGCCACTACCACTCTGGTATATTTGCGTCTTTGAGAAAAAAGAGGCCCTCTTGGAAAATTTGGGTGAGTCGACAACAGCACCCATTTTGAAAAAGGGTACTCACAGACGGGTACTCACGGCTGCACCCGAATCTTCGACCCGTTGGCATCGTGCGGGATTTCCACCGGGCTGTGTCAACCACATCTTCACACTCCGTCAGGTGTTAGAACAACGCCATGGGTGCACACGACCCAAAATCTTGGTGCTTTCAATGATGCCCTCGACTGGCTGGTGATGTGAACCACGCTTGCTCAATAGGGTTTGACCCACAGATGTGTAAGCGTAACCCAGTCCCTATATTCACATACTTCCGGACTTTTGCGAGTTTAAAATAAGCTTCCTGCAACCTTCCCAACAAAATTGGTGTCCGGCAAGGTTGTACACTCTCTATTCATTCAAAAAACTCCGCGTTCTCCTCTTCGGACGTGAGAACGATGTCGTCTGCGTATTCTAGATCGACAAGTTTTTCGTCCGAGGCTACTTGAACCTCAGGGCTTCGAAGACCTTCAAGAGTTTGTCTTATCATCTCATCGATCACGAAATTAAATAGGGATGGAGATAGTGGGCACCCTTGATGACCACCGCTTTGTGTACGGAGGCTTTTGAAGAGCTCTTTGTGTACTCTTTCAAGCTCGGAAACCTGAGGATATAAAGGATATGTAATGTCGAAAAACTTCTGGGGGTATTCCTTGCTGGGATTTCCTGCTGGCATTTTCCGTCCAGGTTGTCTTATTGAGCGCTCGGAGGTGTAGACACCTCAGGATGTTGCAATAGACCAGCATCAGGTCCCTTACCTCATTCGCTCTTTCCTCTTCGTTTTACTCTGAGTCTTTGTTTTATTTAGTTATCCTATGTGGTTGTACGGCATTGAAGCCCCATTTGTTGTGGTTGTTGTTGTTGTTGATGATGATGATACTTGAAAATCCTAAACACGAATCTTGTACCTAGGTACCTAAAGCTGGTAGTAGAAGATAGTCTTAATGACCTACTGTAGGTACTTCTGTACTGGTCTGGCGAACCTGTCAACCTGGGTTTTTTATCCGTTTTTGTGCTAAACCTCTGAGTGTCCGACTGAAGTCAGCGCATTATGTCTCCTCTTCCCAACTTTCTCCATATGTGTAATGCATTTATCGTTACTCCGTTTTAGCCTCAAAATGTCCTCGTCACCAACCAATTCGCAGGACAGTCCCGAGAGGAAAAAACGTCGACTAGGCCCCTTCGACGAAGTACTTCCACCTTGTCCTTACGGTGAAAAATGTTACAGGAAGAACCCGAAACACTTTGACGAGTTTAGCCATCCATGCAAGTAATTTGTCTGTCTCAAATGCGACTGATTGTTTTTTATACTTGTTAGCGCCAATTATTTAGTGGAATTAAAGAAAAAAGTCATGATCTCACCCACCAGCTGAAATAATTACTGCCGTAAAAGCGGGAACTGTCGGACCTATGTCTAATCCACGTTGAGAAGCCTCTAAACTCAATCGTCATCAGCATATCTAATCTTCGGTGTCCCTGCCTAGTAAATAAATAGGTGGGGGATTCATGAGTGATTGACCATTAGGGTGATGAATGTACACAATAATACTTCATTTTTCCTCAGTCAAACAGTTCTTCTCGGGTCGACTAGTGTTCATGGGTCCCTCAAGTGATGACTTGTCTTGTGAAAGGCTCGCCCATCTTGCGGTATCTTTTCTTCAACGTATCAATGCGATGGGCACTTCTTATGGTTCCGCATGGATGTATTCGATTGGGTTTCAAATCTCCCTTGATACCCCATATGAATCAGAGCAAGGACTGACACAAATAAAGGCCGGCTAATATGTTGTTTTAGCTTGTGGAAGTTAAAATTCACATCGTAATGGGAGTACTGTTGTCAATTGAAGCAAGGCACTTTTCAAGATGTGATCTGTCCGTCCCGATGTGTTTTCCCATCCTACTCCTTTTGACGCTTCTCTGAAAATACAACATTGCCACGCCATCCAAACATACCTCTGTTAACGTCCGACCCGATTGCGAATTGAACATTATGATGGACTGATGGACGGCGAGTTCTTCCGTTAGTTGTCGATTAGCTTCAGCCGTGAAAGGGTTTATTATTCAAAGTTTTCAGCCGCATCTAAGCCTAGGTGGGAGTGGTGAAGATGTCAGAGATAGACTGACAATGGGTTTACCGAGTAAATTGATGAACCTTTAGTAAGCGGCCGAACGTAGCTCATGATCCCAGAATAATTAAATGAACAGAACCTTTCTTTTTTCGCATGAGTTGAATCGTCGGAGATTTATTAATTTTCTCCATACCAGGGGCCTCATTGAAAGCAACGGAAAGGAATCCAGCCTACTACCTTAGTTTTGTATTTGTATATCGGTTGTTTATTCGGTGAATCAATTGAAAACGTGGAAAATTCGGTTACATGTTACGTATTTTCTTTCCTGGGCTCCCCCGAGTGCGTACCTCGCCATTCTCTGTTTTGCGGCTACGTAGCTTTCAAGGAATGGGTATTTTAAATTTGTTTTCTGATTTTCATCAAAACTCATTTTGATTCAACGCCCTACAGTCCAACAGCAACAGGCCACCACGTCTCACGAACTACCAGTGAACAACTGTTCCTCAACGGACTCCGACCTTATCGATCAGATGGCCAAAGAATTCGGATTTTACTTGTTCCGGTGCCCTGGTGTGAAGTATCGTAATATCCCAACAATAACGTTAAAAGGTTAGTCATTAAGTGAGCGGAGTTTCTTGTCTGTAGTGTTCGCCCCCCCTAAGTTCACCTCTTGATGCCTATTTTTTACTGTCTACATGTATTTCAATGATATTTTCGGACCCTTTACCGCGTGAGCTTAAGTCTGTCTTAAGCTTATCAGAAAAATGACTGACCGATTGCATCCATTCTGTCATTTGTCGACAGCATCAGTGTTTTAAGGTGGAAACGGGAAACATCGTTCCCAACTTTGGATTATTCACCTAAATGATTGGAGGTAGTTGAATTTGATGAGAATCTTGGTAGTGCAAGTAGAGTAGATCATCATTATTATGATCGTCAGCTGTAAGAACCGCGTACTTGTCTTACAGTGGCTGTAGCTGCCACAGTTTCTTTCACGATGATTTGGGGAGGTGGAGTAAGTAGCTGCGCATTGGAGGCGGGAGCTGATAAATACAACACTGTCAGTGGGCACTTTGATTGCAAACGTTTCATCACCTATCTAGGTGACATCATCAGTGCGATGGGTCAGTAGTTGTGCGCAGACTGGTGTAGCGTGCTCATTACCATATTTGCTGCTAGCCGAGGCTGACCTTCGATCACGATTAGTTGATCGGTCAAGCCGTTCAATGTGTTGCTCGGATTCATCGATGACCATGTGACCTCTGAGCTTGACGGTCGTTGGTTTGTCCGTATAGCTGGACAATTTGATTGCAATCGATGTGACATCATCAGGGCGTTGTTAGGGCGTGCAGCAAAGCGTAGCGATGGGTCGGTGGTTGTGGGTCAGAGATTGAGGTCACTCCAGCACCAACCAGATTACGTGATCAGGAGAGGCCAAGTCCAAGGGTCACGTAGTATTCGCCCAATAAGGACACGGGGTAACCAATGGAACCACCTGACCGAACAACCATTTGTGATTGAAGGATTATGGTTATCTAGATGGGCTTCATCCTCATCACTCAGAAATTTCTCGGCGCATATCTGCCATGGAGGTTTCCCAAGCCTAAATATCGTTCGGCTGCAGCACCCTTCCGGTGCCTTGTTGCCATGCCACCCGAATGAAGCACGCGGGCTGAGATACTGCCAGATTGCCCAAGCCTAGACAGGGGAAGTCGAGAGTCAGAGGTCGGGTTCGAACCACGGACCTTCCGGTCAGTAAATTCGCGTTCTCACCACTTGAGCCATCTCGCCCCCTTTGCCCAAGCCTAGACAGGAGCAGATGAAGTGCCACAGTCGGGTCGAGCTGCGCATCTTCTGGTGGGTAAGCTCATGCTTTAACCACCGACATATCGTGTGACCGACTAGCAAGGCAGCATAACCTCTTTTCTTCATAAGGGGTGAGTTGACTGTATATGGGAACGAACTTACGCAGTGACCCAAATTTTGTACATAACACTGATATTCTTGTTTGATAGAGCTATCAAAGCCGGATTCCCAGTATCTTTGTATCTGGTTTTCAATCTAATTTCAGAAATTTTCCATCAAAAGCATGGAGACCTGGTCAGTTCTGCGCAGGTAAGCCTTCATATTTTCGGAGTTAGGCAGCTTTGTTTTATTTGCAACTGTGAGATGCGCTGTAACACTGAGCTGAGTGGTATATATCTGTTGTCATCAACAGATTTCTTTTTAGGCATGATGGAATGGTAGTTTTTTCAGATCCCCAAAAACATGCTAGACAATATTTGGGCGGCACTTTAACTTTCACAGACTGTAGCCATTTGGAGAACCTGTACAACCGCATGCATAGTTTACATTCAAACCAATCGGTTGCCAAACATTCTATCCATTGGACACAGAGTACTGTATTTTACTGTGCAAAGTCAACTCGAAATTGCTAGCCTTCAGTAATGCCATGTTGATTAATCAGTACCGACTCAGCTTGTACGCACTAATTCGCTGATACAAGCTATCAGCTTGACTTAGACTTAAGACTCGAACTTGATGGACCCACCATACGATTGACTCTGTTTCACTACTTTATTGCTTATCATCCCGATTTATGATGGGAACTTGGTGGTTTTCAGTATTGCGGCTGGATGATTTAAAGGCAAACTTTAATATCTCACAGACTTTGTCTTTTTCTGTATTATTCATTGTCACTTCTCTGTGGGACGCCTAATCTCTGCCAGCGCTGATGCATCAACTAACGTGACTTCGGATTTTCTGTGATTACATGCCACTCGGACATACCGTAGAAGTAAAATGGGACGAAAACTTCGCACGTCTGTCGTCGGCCCAAGACCTTAGACTCTGATTTAACAATCGATTACGCCTTCCACTGACTAACGGGGTGACATCGCCATTTAGGGCGGAGTGATTTGCGATTTCACCATTCTGGCGACGCAGGATGTGCCCGATCTACAAGCCGGCGTTGTGCAGTCAGCTTATGAAGGCCTTTATTACGCTAGCAGCGTGATCGAATTTCTACAGTCTATCCCCCTTCTTTCATTTAGAGTGTGTCCGAGGGACTGTTGGCTAAGTAACTGAAGTCTTCGAGGAAGTTTAATTCCCACCGGCTAAGTTCTCTACCTTCTCTACCCGGCGGAGGACAACTCGAATTAAGCACAGTTCTATATGGGGCCTATCTCACTTCTAGCCCCGTATCAACGCACCCTGTTATCCGTTCTTTCCTGGCAATCCGCAAGTATAATCGACCCCGAGTAATTGAAACTGCCCAGGAGTTCAAGGGGTATTCTAAAAACTAAGCGTGTGGTGCTCAGGTTAGTGCGGATGTTAAAGAACCTTTTTTCGTTTTCCGCTGCTAATGAAATATCTCACAGACAGATATGCTCGCTCCTAAAAAAGGGTATCAGGGGGGATATTTCCTCATAAGGAAGGGATCAATATTCTGGCCTTTCCGCAGGAGTAGAAGTTCACTTGGGATAATATATTTTAATCATACATTTTCTTACATCTTTTCCCGTAGTTTAACTACATGTTTGACGTTGATTGGCTAATGCAACAGTATCCGAAACAATTCAGGTGAGTTGTTATTCTAACACATTTTGCTGGGTAATAAGTAATACCGATCTTTCACTATAGGTGAACACGTATTTTACAATCTAACTTGACTTAGAAAAGGAAATCTAGCTTACATAATCGATCTAGTTCTACCAATTCTTCCTCTTCGCTATGCTTTTCTTAACGAGCAACTGAAGGAAGAATATACTCATGTAGGTTTTCAAGGGTTCTGTAGAAATGCTGGCGGTGCTGTTTCCGTTCGAGTTCTGTTCACTTTATCCTACAGTGTTCGCTTTCTTCGCGGACTTTCATCGAAGAGATCGGTCTTCTACGCATTTTGTTTTGTTGTAAAGATGATTGCGAGCAATTCCAAAGGTCCATTTTAGAAACAGGATTGTTTAATATGAACGATTTCTTCGTGAAAACTGTTGACATTCATCCTGAAATTTCGTTTTAACTGGATTTGTTTGACTGATTGACGTAGGTGCGTTTGTCAATTTATTGAGTTCAGCTCAGATCCATCTTAAACCGTTGCCCAATATCATATTTTTCCCATATACCACGAGGCTTTCATCCCATTACACATCCTACCACCATCGATCGTTTGAATTTTCCACAGGTCGATGTCCTTACAAGGTTCCTTTCAGTGCAAGCAGCGCAAACCGATTGATATTGGGGTTGGGTATAATTTCGCATAAGGGAATATATTGTCGCCTCTGTTCCCACTCTTAATCCGTATATAGGTCGGTCTGTTTGAGTTACATGAGGGTTTTTTCTGCACTCTTGTCATACACAGTACGGGAATAAGTTGGTTTCGTGCAAGTATTCACTGTTTTAGGTACGTTGATGAACATGTTTAATGAACTTGTTTAACTGGATATTCTTTAGGTCCTCATAGCTTACGTTCGTACTGCTGAACGTCAGTGGACCATGGTGGTATTCTGGGATACGGTTGCTATCACGCTGTTCAACGGCTGCCAGGAGCTACAGTTGAGATCTAAGTGTCAGGTGCCGCTCTTACAAATACGGAGATCCATCAGCCAAGGCCACCATTCTTACTCGAGGCTGATCAATTACACGAGAGACGATGATCCGATCTACTGTTCTCATCATATGTTGTTTGATTTGGCCTCAGACTGGTTGCTAACAGGCAAGGTCTGCTGCACCACAAACGATTCCTCAGCTGTACCAGTTCAAGGGCTGAGTGACTTCTTCAAAGCTCGTTTCTGAGACTAATGCCTATGGCTAAATCTAGATGATAATCTGATACGAAGGATCCCTCCATCACAAGACGTAGTGCTGTCATCAACTTTGTCAATTCTTCCAACTGTTTAACCTATGTGCATTTTTATCCTAGATCCTGCCCATTGCTGTTAGTCCATGCGTATCACGGCGAAGACAAAGCCGCACTGAATTCCGTAGTCTCCAAGTATGAGAACATTCGGCAGTGCGTGGTGAGTTTCACTTTGTTGTTAGTCAGCTGGACATTCTGTTCACTTTCGGAAGCACCATCCGACCTGTATTAAATATATTGATGAATAGTAATTAGTAATATGTGCGTTCTGAAGAAGATTTGAACAATACACCATCGAAATAAGAATTTGGACTTTGATATGGTTCGATAGCATTTGGGCTGGTTACAGAACCACGCATCACTCATAAATGCACATGTATACTACCTGGCGTGATACTGATTGGCTTTGGAGATAAGAAATCGATACAGAAGACCCCAGGATATTCTCGGTTTGTTTATGCAACCATAATTTCCAATTAGGATAAAAACAACACCACCTTTTTGTGTATTTAATACGTTCACTTGTCATCGTTTCATCCTATTATTTGCCTTACCATACCTGGTGTCGGAGGACCTTTGTTAATTCGAAGCCTTCAATTGGTTTAACTTCAGTACTGGGGAGACCAAATTGGCCTTGCTGAATAAATACTTCGAGCCAGAGCTTCTGCTGTATTTTATGCGGTGTAAAACACTGATGGTTGGCTGGCGGGTGTCCTCCCGAATTCGTGTTGCTACTGACTGATAGTTGTACCAACTTGCAAATACTGGTCTGATCCTGGGTTCTTCGTCACCTAGTAACCCAACAAGCCTAAGTGCATGTAACCCAGTCGGGTGTTTTTCTTTCCAAGCTTAACAGTTAATAAATGAGTACTTAATTTTTCAAGCCGTGTTGAAAAACACCGAAAATCAGTGTCAAGTGTTACATCCATTGAAATTTTGGTGGAATGGTAAAGCATACAAATTCTGTTCAATCGTTCGCGTTGCTGCTGGCAAGCGGAAAAATTGAGTTGTTTTATTATGAGGATGGCTAGGTTCCCCCTGGACGTTCGCTCACAGACGTTGAGTATACAGACGATATTGCTCTCCTCGGTTCGCATCCTTCCCGAATGTAGATGGTTTTAAATAACCTAAGTAACTCTGCCACCTAGTTTGGCATGCGCTTCACACCTGCCAAGTGCTGCTACAAGATAGGGTTGGACTTAACCCAAACCTCATGCTTTCAGGTGAGCCAATCAACGTGGTAAATAATTTTTTACCTGGACAGTTGTATAAGCTCCCGTAGGCTGACCATAGATGAGATCGATTCTGGAATCCAGAAGGCCAGGTCAGCTTTTGCCAACCTGCGACACCTATGGCGCCGACGTGACGTGAGTTTGTCTTTCAAGGGCAGAGTTTGCACTGCGTCGGTGCTTTATCGATCTGACACGTGGCATCTACGCGCAGAGGACACAGATGTCAGTGGAGAAAGGAATTACTACTATCTTCACCATAATCAAGCGCCTGGGTGCTGTTTAAGACCTAAAACTTGTCCCGGCACCTACTTATAATTTTTGTTTGTTTCCCATAGAGTCACTTGCTTCTAAGTCATGAATAAGCTTCCTTTATTAAGATGGCTGCATAGAAGTGTCTTACACCCCAGGGATAGAAGTTTTGTGTACTGTTAGATGAAATAGATACGAGAGTGCGTGTTTGTCAAAGCTTCCGATGTCTTACCCGATTCGGACGCCAGACCTTCATTCGGCATGCCGCTCGGTGTACAGGTGGCTGTCAAACAGATTTGAGACTAAGTCGATCCCAAACTGTTTTCTAGTTTATTGCTCACTCACGCGTGTCGACTCAGATGAACTGTCTCGGTGAGCACTAGTCGCTGCATTATACATCCTTAGATGGATTGCGTACACCTTCTTCTGTTCCTTTTCTCTCCGTCGGAAAATGCCTTTAATCCATCTCCCGGACTTTATGGATTACCTTCGGCGTAATTTTTTGCAATTCATGCTTTTAGTCAGTACTCTCTGTACTTTCGTTCTGTTCAGGCACACATACGCCTACCATTTGGGACTCATCACACGTGAGTTGGAGATTTCTCATTTGAAAGTCCCCTATTATATTCTTGGGTTGTATATTTTTCCATCTCTCTCGCCTCGAGCCACTCTACTTATGTGTTTCTATGTGTTCCCACCTGTATGAAACTGAGCATCTTTAGTTCTTTCAGTGCCTCCACAATGAATATTAAACTTGGAATTGTGTACATTGCTCTTCGTATCCACTTTTGTGTCCTCCTATCGCTGTTAATCGCCCCGCCGTGGCGTTATAATCCAAATGACTTTTGTACTGGAATTGATTAATACCGTGGATTGAAGCTCCAGAAGGATACGCATCGGCGATGGGATGCAATTTTTCTATTTTACCGTTGCTGGTTTTGCGTCCAGACTATTGGCTGTAGCGTAAATTTGAACCATTGATTTGGTATAACGCGCAATAGGGGATGTGCTAACACGCATTTCAAGGTAAATCGATTAGTAGGTTGGGCAATCCCTTGATGCATTGACCACTGTCATTGTCTGGTCGCCCATTCTACTTCTGAAGCTTCAACTGCCTGATAAGCATACCTATCGGAATGGCATCAAGTCATGGCGTCCCTGCGTTCTCCATTCGCTCAGACGTCAAGGAAGTCTGTTTTACTGGTTACTGATGCTTGGTTGGTTTTTGTCACAGGGCAGCTCGTCTTTTCGCTCACTTTCGGCACATCTGATGGTGTCATAATGCGCATATTACTTGAGTGACAGTGGGTCGTGTCTTTCAGAGTCCAGTAAACTGAGTCGTTTAGATATCTGGTCTCTGATAGGTGAGAGAACAGGTGTTCGAACTGTACGTTACAAGGCACCTCTGAATTCATAACGTCCCCAAGAGTCAGATGTAGATGAGATTTTCGCGATTGATGTCAAAGGTTCAGGATTGGAATGCTTTTCCATACATTGCAATGTATGCCGGCTTCCTCGCAAGGATTTAGGTTCAGAGTTTATTATGCCTTACTTGCTATGCATACAAAAATAACAACCCCCTTCGCAAAAACGTGTTCGGTCTATGTTGCCAAGGCGACACCCATTAATGTGAAGGCGATACTAACCAAGAGAATGCCGGGCAAGCTCTAGGACTTGGTCAAGGACTTTGATCAACGTATGACTCGAAAGTGCAAACTGAAAGATGATTTCTGTAGGGTCTTTAGTCCAATGCGGATCAAGCACAGAAATTCGATGAACCAATGAATGTAGTCCGTTCGTGTTCGATCAATTGTGGCAGTGGACAGGCACTCGGAGGACGCTGAATACGTCAGAAGCTACGTTGCTCACATCAGAAATTGAACTAATGTACTTGTGAATAGGCAAAATTATTGAATCAAAACACGGTAACCGTTGGTTCATTGCCGAACTGATATGCACCTCCAAGGGTTTAGACCAGAGTGGTGAGCGTTGCTATCATTCGTGCTGTCGACAGCGCCGGTAAGAGCTGCACCAATCTCAGTTGCGATGGCCCTCAGGCTGAGTTCTTCGGTTTGTACTTAAGTTTCACATTATTTGCTGCGTACTGAGGTTTCGTCGTAAACCTGAGGTTTAGCCATAGAGTATAGTGGACCCCTGGATAACCGTGTTACTTTGGTTTTTCTCAATTTCTTCAACCTTTTGTACTATGCTTTATCCTTTTATATAGGAAAATGATGTTCCTAAAGTATGCGGATGGGCTCCGAGTTGTCATCCACACGGCAAACATGATTCCGGATGATTGGGATCGAAGAACGCAAGGGTAAGCTTACCTGTTTAATGCACATAATTAACAAAGCTGATTGTGTGTGTAACTACTTACCAGTTGCAAGTAAGCTGATTGCGGTGCAAATGCCCCCAGCGTCGACAAAGACGGACAAACTCCTCGATGTTTTGGCTGGTGACACTTTGACCACGTTTCCTGTCTATGGATCGATGTTTAACACTATTACATAGATATATTTCAAGTTGGACCTCAGAAAGACCATCTAAAACATGCGAAGAAAGATTCCTCGGCTAATAAAACGAAGAGCGAGCAACTGTTGTTGAGGAAAATCACAGTAGCTTTACTCAAAAAAAGGTATTTCATGCTTTGGTTGTACTTGAGTTCGGTGCTTTTTATAAGACATACGCTGCGGATAAGGAAATCGTCCTTTGAAATGCAATGCTGTGGTAAACGAAGGTAGCTGGAAGGTATGTTAAGAATGAAGGGTATTTTCAATCGCCTGTGAGGCACGACTAATTACTTCTTTGCGAAAATGAACTACTTGCTTCTAGCGGCGTATAGTTGTCACACAGAAGTGCCAGTCCGGGCGCTCTTCTCAAAAAGGTCTTCTTCACCGTGGTTGTAAATTTGACGTGTATCCGAGGCTCCATGTGCTTACCTGTACATCGAACTGTACATCTAACCTCCTTTAGTAGACGGTAAGGGGTATCAGGTTTATGATTTAGGCAGGATATTAACCCTATGGAAAAGCGCCATCCGGAAAAGGAACACAGCACAAGAGCAGCTATTATTTTCGACTCAGTCTTAGTATTTGTGATGACCGATCGGAATCAGAAACACCTTCACGGGAGCCGTAAGTCAATCATATCATAAAACACGATACAATGCGCTGGTTTATATTAGAAAATCAGGGCTACGGTAAGATATTGCACTCTTTCAAGATGTGACCTCCGTATTATATATATATATATATATATATATATATACATAAATATATATATATGGAAGTTTGTTTCCTGCGAAC